CGGAGGTGGGAAATGTTGGTTTCCTCCGTCACTGAGGCAAGCAAGGCTCATGTTAGTTTAAAGCTTCCTGGCTGCTGACCGCCATCTTGGCTGACAGTTAATATGCATATCTCGCTGATTAGCCATTAAAAGGGTAGCGTTTGTACGCCAATTACCATGTTTCTCTTTTATAAGATAGGATTACTGTTACTTTCCAGGTGGATGTCAGGGTCACAGTGGTTTAAACTCTTCGTTTAGACTCATTTCTGTGTTTGTTGGTGTTAGTTTAGTTGTTAGAATGTAATTCATAGTGATGAGAAATTTGTTGAATCATCTTGCCTAATATTTTGAGATTTCTTTTGCAAGACTGATATTTACTTTATCTGTGTTTCTATTTTTTCAGATATGTGACTTGTGTTGTCCTATGAACATCTTTATGCATCTCCCTCCCCATCATCAATATACATACACACCATTAGGCTCCTGTCCATATCCTTGGCATATTTCCGGCAAACATGAAATTTTACTATTTATCCAACAAGACTCCCCAGAACCTCCTAAGTCACCTATTTTGTCTTTAATTAACCCTGTAAGGCAGGAAGAGGGACCCTGAATACATTATGATCATTGCAACTCTGTATTGAAAATAAATGGTCTCTGTAAGTCACTCACTAACTTTATGTACACATCTGATAAAGGGTTTGCTCATGCCATTTACACAAACACATTGTCACATATTACGTATACTAATAAAAGGCAATATGCTAATTAGAACAGATCGACCTGAGATCTTCTGGATGTCCTTCCAGACGTCCTTCCAGACAAAACCACAGTGGTGGGAGCCAAGACAGAGGTGTTTAGGGGCTATTAGGCTGCCAGGGGAAAGCTCTTAGGGATGATCAGGCCAGCAGGGGAGAGCACTTAGGGGTGATCAGGCTGGCAGGAGAGAGCAGTTAGATGGAATCAGGCCGGCAGGGATGAGCACTTAGGGGCAATCATGCATACGTGGAGCAGTTAGGGGCATCAGGCAGGCAGGCAGAGTGGTAAGGGGCGGTCAGGCAGGGGGCAGATGAGTGGATAGGAGCTAATGGTCCTGGATTGCAAGAGGGATGTCTGACTGCTGGTTTAGGCCCGATACCCAGAGCTGGTCTTTTTGATAAAGGAACACGGAAAGAGATTGTTAACTGAAGGATGAAAGTGAGTCCTATTGATACCAGGGTAGCAATGCCTGATAAAAGAACAGGTATAAAAGCCCAGACCCAAAAGTGGTTTGGAGATGTGTTTGGTATAGGAAATATTAAGCTGGAGTGATGCTGTGTCACACAAACATCTTTTCTTTGTAAAAAAGGCCTCAGGTCATCCTTTGGTTTAGTAAAAGTAAAGGGCAATAACAACCATTGCACAGATGAAAATGTTAAATAAAAGTATTTAAAATTCTTTTGTGCCTGGCTGGAATTTCTCAGTGGTTAAAGTGTTTGCCTGTGCATGGAAGGTTCAAGGACACTTACCAGGGTTGTAAGTTTGATCACCACCCAGATTTGTGTACCTGTGGCAGACAACCAATTTATCTGTCTATCTCACACTACCTCTCTCTCTCTCTCTCTCTCTCACTCTCTCTCTCTCTCTCTCTCTGTTTCTTTCTCTTCCCCGCCCTACCTTTCACTCTGTGTAAAAATCAATGTCAAAAAAATCCTCAAGTGAGGATTAACAAAAAAATTAAAATAAATAATATTGTTACAAATAGTCTTTTTTTCTAGGTCACCATGCTCCTAACCTTGTATCTCTACCTTTTCTTTTTTATCCTTTTATATCTGTTCTTGCCCCATCCTTCATTTCTACACAATTAGCAACATTCATTCCTACCATTCTTACTCTGCCCCCTTTCATCTTTCCAATCAGGCAGAGGTCAGTGAGTAACAGAAGCCTCAGATCAGGACAGATAGGAGCAGGGGAGCAGCTGCGATGGCTTCAGGAATCCTGGTGAACGTAAAGGAGGAGGTAACATGCCCCATCTGCCTGGAGCTCCTAACAAAACCCATGAGCCTGGACTGTGGGCACACATTTTGCCAAGCCTGCATCACTACAAACAACAGGGGGTCCATGATCGGCCAAGGAAAGAGCAGCTGCCCTGTGTGCAGGAGCACTTACCAGCCTGAGAACATGCGTCCCAATCGACATGTGGCCAACATTGTGGAGGCCTTTAGAAAGGTCAAGTTGAGCCCACAGGAGGTGCAAAAGACAGATCTCTGTGTGCGCCATGGAGAGAAACTCGTGCTCTTCTGCCACGAAGATAAGAAGATCATTTGCTGGCTTTGTGAGCGGTCTCGAGAGCACCGTGGTCACCACACCTTCCTCATGGAGGAGATTGCCCAGATGAAAAAGGTAACAGACCAGGGTGGAAGAAAGACAGGGCAGAAAATAACACTTGATGGGAAACCTCAACTTTTGTATTTGACTGTAATTTTCTTGCCACCACAATCCTGAGGCCTGTGATCACTTTTCTTCCTATGTTCGCCTTCCAAGGCCTGAAGGACATTTCTATACATTCCACACAATTACAAATGATGAGCAGACTGTAAAGGAGAGTAGATATTTTCAGACCTTGTGCTAATAGAGTTTTCGTGCACAAGCAAAGCTGTTATCATCCCTTTAGACGTGAGGGGTAACTGGGCAGCTGGATGGATCAAGACCTAAGTTCTTTCCTTACTACAGTATCAATATTTTCTTCTAGGCAAAGAGAACCAGTCTTCTCTTGACATAGTAATGGTGACTTCTATCATCTGAGTCTTAAAGAACACATAACCACATCAGGTTTCCTTCAAATCACAGGTTCTAATGGTCATTTTACAGTTTCTTTAGAGATGAACCTGATTTCTTCTCATTAATCCTCTCTTCTGATGAGGAGAGAGCCCATAGCTTAACCCTGAAGTCATTCCTCTCCCATAGGAAAAGCTCCAGGCATCTCTGGACAGGCTGAAGGCACAACAGCGGAAAGCTGAAAAATTGAATGATGACCTTGAAGAAGAGAGAACTTCCAGGAAGGTAGGAGGAGACTCTTTCTGATAATTAAATAAGAATCTGGGCATGACTTTGGGATTTAGTCAGAAGGAACTCCCTTCCTTCTTGTTTTCTGACAGTTGATATGTCCAGAGTTATTGATTATCCATTCTTTATCCTTTCCCTGGTAGAAATAGGGCTGGAAGTAAGCATGTCACAAAATAGTGCAGACATTGGTAGGTTAGTTATTCCCATAGTTAGACTCTCTGGTGAGGATGGTAGTGAATTTTATATTCATTTATCTTTTTTTTCTTTTTTCTTTTTTTTTGTGCCTTAAACTCTTCCAGGGAAGGCAATTGCCAATGGTTCATGGCTCTGTCCCAGGTGCTCAACATAGGCTGCGGGTGGGGTGGGGTGAGGAGTAATGCATGGAAGCATCACTGTCCTGGGCAGCTGTGAGAGCTGAGCCACACCCAGGAGTCCCATTTTGGTTCGGGGTTGGCCTCAATAATGTAGACATGAGGGCATTATTTGGAATGTAATGAAGATGAAATAATGGGGAAAATCAGCCTCCCCAAGAATTGCTCCTCTGCTTCCATCTCTCTTCCCTCTGAAAACATCCAAATCAAATACTTCCTTTTCGGCAGAGAATCTCAATGGCCTGGCTCAGGCTAAGAGTGAGCTGGCCCAGCAGAGGAAATTGCTGAGAAATCTCATCTCAGATCTGGAGCATCAGTTGCAGGGGTCAACAGTAGAGTTGCTGCAGGTAAGACTTAAAATAAGCCCCAGCATCTGAACTTAAGGAAAATTAAGACTAAGTTTCCTTGTCTGCTGTGTGGCTGTGCTGTTTGTGGTGTGGACACTGAGGCTCCATTGGTCTTGCAGTGACTCTTC